TGACACAGTCAAAGGTGATAGCTATTTGGTTGTATTGCATACAGTTCCGTGCATTCATCAAGAGGACACCAAAGCAGTAGTAAACACCCACAGGGGATGAGTAGAGAGACATCTTCCACCACAAGTAAAGGAACGGCCACTCCTTGACCACCAACGCAAGCCCATTTTCCACATTTGTATGTACAGCAAACATCGCCTCATTCTAGTGAAGCTCGTCGGCCGTGCAATTGGCCTTTGCGAATGGACTGATGATGTGATAATTAAGGCCGTAAGCCAGATCACCAAAGAGCTGCGGAAAGCGGATGGGGGGACACGTGTTCTTGTCTGTACCCTCGCAGACAGCATGCTCCTGGAGCAAATTGATCAGCCTACTGTCATTGAGCTAGCCAAGGTCATTGCATTGCCCTTCCACTGGCCCATGAAGGTGTCCAAACATGCCGTTGGAGAGCATCACAGCCTGGAATTTGAGGGTGTGGTATTTCTTGTAGCCGTTGTAGGCTTGGCGCTGGTACCAAGTCTGGCAGGAAATTCAATGGATAGTGCAGTTGATGAAGCTGCATACACTGCTTAGAAGTGCACCTGCACGATAGATGGCCTCGGTGTAACACTTGAGATTGGCGGGTGCGAGTACACCATCGTGGTCGAAGCAGAGGAGAAAAGCCCCATGAACATTGACGAAGCAGGTGACATAATTGACGACCTCTGAGATAGTGGCTTGTTAGGTATGGCGTGCCAAGGGGTTGGAACGCTTTGCGAACACCTATAAGAGGTGACGCCGTTCGATGCCTCTGCGTTCCGTTGAGAAACGAGGACGTGAGATGAAGTCCGCACGTTTCCAAGTCGGAGTCGGGCGGAAACGCGGAGTGAAGACAAGGAAGGAGTTGAGCGAGAGGAGAAGGCAAGGAGCTGGCTGGAAACCAAGTTGATATTTTTGCTGGCTATCTAGGAGCAGCTAGCCAGCTTATATACGAGTAGTAGGTGCGATGCATCGGATTCCGGTGCATGTGCGCGGAGTAACAATAAGTACGAGTCCATGTGGAAAAGGTCCATTCAGATCTTGGTAAAGTAACGATAAGTAGTGGGCGCAGCAATACGTGCGATGGCGGAAGAATGAGAGAAGAATGAGTAGGAGATAAGACGGTAAAGCGGTACGTGGGATTCCGCGTCGGAAACAGAATGCGGAGCGGAAAGTAAGTACGAGTGCGGAAACATCGGAAACATTGGAAACATCGGAAAAGAAACAAAAGGTAAGTAGGATGTAAGTAAGGAGTCGGAAAGAAGAGGAAACATATCTGTGTGTTATGTGCACGCTGCACGAAACACACAGTTGACATGGACCGGAAGGCGACAACGCAACGGACTAAATAGAAAGGTAGGTAGAGGGACACGTAAGCTACCGACATTGTATATACTTGTTGTCTATGGGCTTCTGTCAAAAGTGGTGTTTAGTGGCGAGTCTACCTTCAGCCAGGTCATGTGACCTCAACCCTTGGAACTGCTTATGTAAGTTCCAAGAGTTGAGATCACATGACTTTTCCCCACGCTTTGCCCGGATGGCCCCGTACATACGCGTGTACCTACCTTTCCTTTTCCCTCAGTCGCTATCCTATACGCAGGAAGACTGAGGGTATGTCTTTTACTTACTTTACTCTTACTTATACTGACTGTACTTTAGTCTTGCGCTCTCTGCGCTTATTTAGGTATGAATTGAGTCGCTATCCTATACGCAGGAAGACTGAGGTCTTGCGCTCTCTGCGCTTATTTAGCTCGTGAAAGCTTCAAGCACAGCCCGGTATAGATGAGTCAGAGGCGTCCACAAATACCCACTCGTGACACCAAAACTGCCAATTGCACTCTGCACTAGGTAGGCTGAGAAGATACTCCTTACTGATGCGCTCTCCGCCCTGGCGAGGTCAGGGGATCTCGTACTTCTGGCGACGTAGACGCCACTTGTGGGCCCAGTCCACTCGAAATGCAAGAAGGGAGGCAGCATGTGCAGCAGCGGCTGGGCCAGCATCTATAAGTATGTTGGGTGGAGGAGTAAGAACCGAGGGGAGGGATGCAAGCAGAATGTTGTGCAGGTTGATTATGGGCTTGTGCTGTGACAGCGCTGGGAGCAGGAGTGCTAGGAGTTCTGAGTAGGCGGCACAACAGGTGATGACACACACAGGTGACATCATCACATGCATGACATTCGAGTTCGAACTCATCCTCGAAATATTGTGCTCCTTCGAATTGATACTTAGCTGTGATTTTCCTGCATTAAGCAGTGTTCAAGGGGAGGCCAATGTACACTGGGCTCTGCATCAGGAGTGGAGCCATAATTGAGATGAGAAAGTGGCATATATACCGGTG